CTGTTAAATTAATTAGAAATATGTAAGTTATTCTGCCAAACAAAAAATACAAACATATTTAAGCAAAAGATTCTTATCTTCCCTTTTTTGAGATAAGTATCTGATCTAACCGGATTAAGTAATAAAGTTTAATGTATGCCAATTATGAGTCATACAATTTCAGGGTGCTATCTCAGAACTTTATCCCCCATGACTTTCTTGGGGTATTTGCCTTATGTAAATAAACTGAAACCCAACTCGGGGGAAAAAAGCTGATAGCCACATCTGCATCTATTATTATTTCCTCAGAACCTGTTTTTCTTTTCATTATTTGATGTCGTCATCGAAAGCTTCTGCGGTAGATTTATAAACTCGGTCTTGTAAAATGAGTGTTATTATGATTATATGGGTATTACCCATAATATATTTCTTTGGTTTCCTATCGGCAAAGTTTATTTATGGAAGAAATATTCAAGTCATTGTCTGAAAGAAGTGCACGATACGTGATTTTAGCAATCAGTTGAACGTACATTTTTGTTATTTGGATTTCTTATTTCAATATGCCTGGAATTTTAATTAATTATTAATTATTCAAGTTCTTGTCGTTAGAGTTAAAATTTATTTAAAAGGAATTTAAGTATTTTAATTAGCCTGTCTATTGGTAAACCATCTCCTTATCAGTAAAGAAATTGTTCAAAACAAATTTGATTGAACCCTAGTTTGTCATCCGATACCTAAAGAATGATTTTAGACTAAAGCCCAATGACGAAATACTTCACAACAAATATGATGGCTATGATGGTTTAGGACTTCGAGTGGTTAATGATTAGTGCCTTTTTTCGTTATTACATTTGTGAAATATATATGTATACTTATAAAACTAACAGTGATTATATTTCCTAATGTGCGATGTGCGATAATGCCAATCAATTTATGATATTATCAATAACCTAATGGCCCATAGAAAGGATAAATGGAGTGACGTAAATCCTGAATTGCTGGGTCATCCGGTAAATGGATTACGTGAAAGCCATTTAGTTGAGTTTTCGACGTTTCTCCAGAATGAATGCCACTATTTGGGATTTGTTAGATCATATCTCGGAGCGACAGCACTTCATCTGGACGTTTCTGTTCCTTGAGGCGGGTATCCTGTCGCTATTGGTGGCCCTAGCAGTGCTATATGCCTTAATACTTGTTCGGAACTCGGAGGATTTTCATTTTCAGTAAAGAGCGAATTATGGAGAACAACGAAACTCAGGTGATCTCAGGCTACCTGTTGGAGTCACAGCAGCAGCAGCTTCAGGAGCCGGGTTCTATCTTCTACTTGGTGATTCGCATAGGCATTAAATTATTTCTTCTGGCATTTATCTGTTTTGCACTATATTGGAAGCGTCGTCGGGCTCTCAACAATCCAAGTAAGTTGCGGGAGACGTGTGGGAGAACTGTGTGTCCTTATCACTGATAAGTGCTATCTTTATGAGAGTGCGATTGCCCTTTTCTTTTGGCCATTACGGGCATATTTCTCGAGTGCCAAATCCATCGTCGCCGTTTTTAGTTCTACGCTTCTGTTTAGTCTTTGTGCGCCGCTTACTCAGTTAGTATCGAGAAATCATGGATGATTCCGGCATCTACTGGATACTCTTCTTCACCTTATCTGTATTCTTCATGACCTCCGCTGCGGTCTTCCTTACACGAGGACGTACCCAAAGAGCGGCTTTAACCAAGGGTGCAGGTGTGTCTATGTGTGGTTGGTGGAATAAAACCCTTGGCAAGGCGATAATCCTTTCAAAAATAACAGTAGTTTTCAATATAGTATGAATAGCTTTCCTCTCGATGATTGAATTCTTGTGAATGGTGAAAATTGGAAATCCAAAATATGGGCCAGATAAGAGAAAAAAGTGTAATTTATATATAAAGTTATCAGTTATTTGGAGATCTCTGATAACACTTTTGTATTTATAAAACAGCCAAAAGCTTTAATCAGTCATATTCGTCGTCTCAATGTGTTAACACCGGATTCTTTCGATCCGAATATCTATCGCCATGGAGGATTATGTGATTCCCATTATAGCTTTCTCAGTTTTCCTGATAATTGCCACTTTAATGATCACTTTGCAGTACTGCCTGGTTAAGAGATTCAGAGGGAGAGCTGCACACGTTACATACGACAGTAAGTTAGCCAGTTCAAGAACAATATTGATATCATATTATCAGATTAGAGAGAGCTGAAAGAAAGTGTGATTGTGAACAGTGATATTACCTAGTGTATTCCCTTGTTGTTATAAAGATTTCATTAGAGCAGTGACGAGTGATAAGATGACTTTTAATCAAGTCCGGAAAGAACACAAGTGCTTGTTGGAAGGTGATTTCAAATAAATTCCATTGTAAGCCCTTTGAAAACCAGTTCGAATTGTATTCCTTGTAACAGAGCACCAGTCGGATTCCGGAGATTGAAATAATATTCGCCATGAAGAATTATTGGGTTCCGATTATAGGATTCTTAGTATTTTTTTTAATTGCGGTTTGTCGTAACCTTAAAACAAAGGCTAGAAATGTTACTAATGAAAGTAAGAAGTCAAAATCAAGTGCAATAAGTCATCTAATATAGCTAACAATTACGTGGAAAAACATATTTAGAGGGTATTAGAGAACAGACGTAGTTACTGAACGGTGAAATGTTAGTGAAATAAGTGCATAAAAACCAACAAAAACCCTTTAGTATAAGTGTTTGCAAACAGGATTAAAGGGTGTTAAGAACGTATATATTTATTTCATGGGTAACAGCCTTTTTGAACTAATATAAAAGAATATAAAACCCACTAAAAGTTTATTTTTATAGTCAGTTAAAAATATGTTTCCGATCGGACTAAAAAACAAGAAACCGTTTATATTTTCATACTTTCTTATCTTTTGCGTTGTATTCACTGTGATCACATTATGTTGGTCCCTTGTAGAGTTGCTAAAGTATGATAATTTGGTACATTTACGATTATTTTATGTTAAAAATTGACAAATGACAAATGACAATGGGACGGTGAACTCCCTTTTCGGTTGCGATAAGGGCACCTAGCCCATAAAAAGCCCATTTGCAATTCAGTTGGTATCGTATTTCCCATCGAATAGCACCTTTTGAAATAGAACGGAAAATAAAGGGGAAATAATACTCGTTATGGAGGATTATTTAATTCCCATTATAGGATTCTCTGCATTTCTGTTATTAGCCGCATTGTTGTTCACTTTGCAGTATTGCATATGTAAAAAGTTAAGACAAAGGACTACAATTGTCACAAATCAATGTAAGAAATCAAATATCAGAAAGTTTAAATGAAATATATCTATGAGTAATCAAACTAGAGTTCAAGTACTCATGAGCACATGTGCTTGTTCCACGGTGAACTCCCTTTTCGGGTGAGATAGGGGCACGGCACTCTATCCATTGAAAACCATAATCAGTTGGAATCGCGTTCCCCGTTGAATAGCACCTCTTAAATTCGGGAAAATCAAAATAAACCAAATAATAAATCGCCATGAAGAATTACGTAGTGCCCATCATAGCAGTTTCCGTTTTCATTGTCATTGGCTGTCTGATGTTTACACTTTTCTGTTGCCTGGTCAGGAAACTCCAAAGCATGGCCAGGACTCAAAGTAAGGCTCAAAGAGTGATTTCTAGTGCAATTGATGTAGTTATTTGTGTTAAAAACAAGAGTTTGAAAACATATGTACGAATTGGCTATGTCACCGGTGAACGCAATCGCTTATCACCGCGATTGGCCATATAAACTTGGCCGCCATTGATTAGACATGGCTCGACGAGTGGCTCTTTGGCCATTCAGATGAAAGCTTTTTTGCAGTCTGCTTCGGTATCGTCTGGAAGGCGATTGTGTGTTCATAATTTGAAGTTCAATCCCCGTGTATAGATATCGGAAATGTGGGAATTTTTCGTAGCACTAAGTATTGCCTTTACCATATTCATTGTGACATCGATTGTGGTTTGCATAAGGCGAAAGCAAAAGGCTGCCAGAAATGTGGGCTATACAATCAGCGAAGGTGGTGGTAAATGAAAAGATTATATATATATTACACTCGGAAAATGCACAAATTGATTGCATCTATTAAAAGTACTTGGTTACTTCTATATTTATTTTGTAGACATCAATGTATAAAATAGAAATATGCTGTCATTTTTTCCCTTTTGGTTAAAACTGAAGCCTCCACTATCTGTATAGCATTCGCTTATCGTTGGATTTTGGCCATATAATCGGTAGCCATAAAGATTAGACATAGTTCAATGCGTGGGTCAGAAGAGAACTTTTCCTGCAGTCTTTATCGATATCGTTTGCTAGGCGAAAGTGTTGTTTTTTCAAGTTTAATCCCCTTATAAAGTTATTGAAAATGTTGGAAATCATCGTTTGGGTTTCTATTCTATTTGCCGTGTTCTTTATAACAACGACTGCGGTTTGCATTAGGCGAAAGCAAAAGGCTGCCAGAAATGTTGGCTATGCAATCAGTGAAGGTGAAGGGTATATGAAAAATGTTCTATTTCATGTCCAAATCCAATTTTAACTATAACGTGTATTATGTGATATCTATAAAGCTATAAGGCTTATCTGTGCAATAGCAGCAATATGATAGAAGTATTAAATAAAAATTAATACTTAACACAGGAATATGGTCAGTTTAACGACTTGATTCTCAACATTTTTGGGATACAAATTGAGCTGGTATTAAAGTTTAGAGAATATTTCATTGGTTTCATCAAAAGTATAAGTAAAAAAATTATAATTAATTGATTCTAAATGATTTTAAGGAGTAAACACTGTACACTTTGTTTTCAATTGCAAAAAGGGGGAACTTTTTCTTTCTGTTTATGAAATTAATCAGAAATGGTGGCGACTTATCGGAGACCACTGCGACTCAAGTGGTTTCTGATGGGATGATGACTCACTATTATTATTATTGGCCCAGCAGTTCTTCCGTTTCTAATTTTCAATTTCTACTTTCTGCTTTTCCTCTCGTTGCAGCGCCCGTGGTGGTAACATCCGCCACCCACACTGCTCCTGGCGGATATCCGGTCACACAGCTGCCGCCGCCAGGATATCCTGCGGGCAATGCCTACGCTCCCGCTTCATATCCCGCTCAGACCACCGGGTAAGTGGAGAGTTAAAGCTTAAAGTGGAACATTTTCTATATCTCTCCCTCTTCTCTTTGTCTGTTCCGCAGTAATGTGACCGTCCAGATGCCGATGCCAATGGCCCAGCAGCACCAGCAGATGCCCATGCCGATGCCCGGGTAAGTTTGACCTTAAATCGAACCAACTGCAAATGCAAATACTAATTAATTCGTTTTTGTTTCGCCTTACACAGCATGCAGACGCATGGCGTGGCATATCCTCCCTATCCTGGCGCCGGGCCGGCCAACATGAATCCGCCGCCGTATGACATGGCCATGGCCAATCCTGGTCCGAGTGTTATGCCCGCCGGCTACGAGAAGCAGGCTCCTTACAATCCCAACTTTGCGCAGTGATTGGCCACTGCGAACTGACAGTGAAATCGATGTTCGTCGATCTGGTTTTGAGCCATTTTTCTTCATAGCTTTTATACTCTCTGCTTATTGGATGCATTAGTTCTTTACCTCATCCGTGTATCTGTGTACTTTAATTCTGCAAAAAAAACAAGAGAAAAATGAACTCTACATTAGACAACGATTCATTTCCTGACTGCCATGGGGAAAACCAAAGTGAGGGCGATCGCAAAACGAGCCATTTTTTATATATATATTCCTTGTGATGTAAATATTACTTAAGCACAACCTAGTATTAATTTATACATCTATTTTAAGGAACATCTCCAAAAGAAAACAAACGAACGCCACATGAAGTGTTAATTGAAATAAAAAAGTGGAGTGCACATCAAATACAAACTAAAACTTATTTGTAGCGATGTGCACGGCCGCGAAAAAAAACAAAAAACCATAAAGGCAATTTGTTTTAATTATGATATGCCATCGAGTATTATTTTCAATTCAAAAAGTAGAGTTATAAATGTTTTTCTAAAGATTAGCACTACGGTTTATACAGGCCTGGTTTCATTTGATGGTTTATTTTTATTCCGAGTGATTGCGAATTTATTTAATTTAGTTTTTTGTCCATTTGATTATGCTTGCCATAAGCCATACAATTTTATCACTCTAGTTGATTAGTCAGTATTTTAAAACATATTTCTTGCTTGCATATCAATCCCAAAGCCCTGAAATTAGATTCCCTCAACTAAGTAGATTGGTTATGGTTTCACTGCAAATATTGTTAGCACTTAAGTTGGATTTAGTCGTCAGTTGAGTTTTCCATTGCTACGCTGGAGAGGATGCATCTGACAATACTTTTGGTCTGCGTCGGTTCCTGTCTTCTGACTCTAGAAGCCGAAGGGATCCACCCTACAGATGGGTCACATAAAAATGAAACTCTGTGCCGGCCCGATCTCTGTCCGCACTCTGACGAGCATTTGGGCTGCTTAAGCAACAATGTAGGCTTCAGTCTCTGAAGTTTCTTACTGAGGATCTACATTTTCTCATTTTACTTGCAGACTTATGGCAAGAAATGCGGCAAGGGCGCCCGAGTCATCCATGTAAACGGTGGCCTTAAGCTGGGTATCCTCGCGCAGGTTAATACGCTGCGCAACTACATAGCCAGCGGAGCGGGAAAGTTACCAGTGGCCGGCCGCATGCCCACAATGGGCTGGGATACCAATCTGCAGCGTCTAGCCGATCTCCAGGCCCGCCAGTGCGACGAGAATTATAGGTTTTGTGCCAACACAAACAAGTATCGCTATGTGGCCACCACCGAAATCAAGGGTATGATTGGTAAGCACACCAATGTACGGCATGTGATTCTTTCAAGGTTCCTGCCCGAGATGTTCCTGGATGTCTTGGACTGTAAAATGGACAGTGACCATCGCTTGGAACCCATCAAGCAGGGGTAAGTTATTATTTGAGGTATCCAAGATAGTTTACACCATCTCCTATTCTTGCAGCTCCTGTGTGGGTCACTATGTACCGCTGATTGAGGATCATGGCGACCGGATGGGCTGCGCCATTCGCGTGGAGGCACAGAAAAACAATAGGGACAAGGCCCACAAAAAGAAAAAGAAGAAGTCTCGCGAGGATCGATCCGTGAACATCAACCTCATCTGTCACTTCTCGCGGGCCAATGTGAACAGTCAGAAGCACTACGAGGAGGCCAAAGACCCCACTTCGAAATGTGTCACCGGATCGAACCGAATGTACTCGTATCTGTGCAGCCGCCAGGAGGTGGTGGATGCCAATATAATTACGAATGAAACCAGACACCTCGCATCCATATGAATCTATCGAATTGTGTCCCAATATAAGCATGACTTTTTGATTAAATGGTACATTCGTTGTGGTAGACTGAGGCTTGGTACGTAGAGCGATAGCTGCGCTTCAACGGAAATCGATTCGGTAGCAAACTCTATAAGAGGCAGCTTCGATTGGTCGGAGCTGGCCAAACTGTCTGTTTCGTCAAGATGTTGGACACCATGTGGCCGTCGTTGCCGTTGCTGCTGCTGCTGATTCAAAGAGGGCAACAGCTCCAGGCCTTCGACTACTGCGATCCGACCCTGTGTCCCGGTCCCGAGAAGCACATAGCCTGCAATAACTTTGGTGTAACTATGGCGCATTACTTAGCCAGATCTTTTCAATACTGATTTTGATTCTAATTTCAGAGGCTGGCGGATAGCTGCAGTCCGGATGCGCACTTGGTGCGGATAACTAAGGCCCGTCGCACCATGATCCTTAATGAGCTGAACGAGTACCGGGATAAGGTTGCTGGAGGCTATATCTTGGGCTTCAGTCCGGCCACCCGAATGGCCACGCTGCAATGGGACCAGGAGCTGGCCAGTTTTGCTGAACTGAACGTTAAGCGCTGCACCCTGGCCAATGATCATTGCCGGAACAGCGAGCAGTTTCGCAACGTGGCCCAGGTGGTAGCCGAAGGCGGCTGGGTCCGGGATCCGATCAAAGAGCCTAGAGGTCCTGTGAGCAACCATCCCGAGGATGAAGTGATCAAGGCAACGCTGGATCAGATGTTTGCCGAGTACAAGGAGTGCAGCATGCGTGATATCTTGGCCTTCAGCCCGCCCGGCAACAGGTAGGTTAATGCACCAGCACCGCTCACCCTACTCGAATCTGAATCCTTCTCATCAGACTTCTCCATTTGTGGATCAGTCGGTGTATTGCCTACTTCACCCAGCTCGTCCGGGACAGCACCACCCATGTGGGCTGCGGCATTCTCCGGCAGACAAGCAACACCACCAAGGGGGATGGTCAGTGGGTGCTCAATATCCACCAGTACATGACGTGTAACTTTAACCGGGCGGACGAGGTCAATGCCCCGTCTACCAGAGCGGCGACCGACCGGCCACCGATTGCCGCAGCGGACCCAATCCCGTCTTCATCAACCTGTGCTCCGTCAATGAGAAATATGCCAGTGGCAGCCCACAGGGGTATTTCTGAGCTCAGGCGGGAGTGGGAGCGGATTCAGAGCAGGTTTATCCTGCAGTGTTACAGATACAAACATTTCTTATATAAATATAAGTAAAAGATACAAATGGAGGTGGCTCCGTTTGCCTAGTTTTCATCGATACTAATTATTTTCTATACTTGTGTTTGGATAGATTAATATTTCAGGATCTTAGGGAAGATTTAATACCTCAGAAAATTCATCTTATCTGGCAAAATCACAATCATATTTGTCATATTTTTTACAAAAAGTACAATCAGCTAATAAAAAGCTACAAATGTATTTAAACTTAAATGAATTATTTTTTCAACATTTTCTCTTTGACCCTGCCATATATTTTTTTGCGTTACTTTTTTCCACACATTTATTTATAATATCATTGCCATTAAATATGTCAATAGTGAGTCTCTTTGTTTGGCAAATACAATTAGGAATAAGCTGATAAGTTGTGCAAATAAAATACAATTCTGTGGTTGCTGCCAAAAAGAAATCATTAACGAGTGGCACTAAAAAAGTGTAGCTAATTAAATTACATTTCATATGAAATTGAAATAATTTAGGTTTTTCCATTAATTATGGTTTTATTCATTGTGCTGACTTCATTGTTTTTTTGTCGCCACAAAATTTCTTCTTTCTATTTAAATTACTATATTTGTTTGACGATAGAGAATCCTAGTTGAATCACACTTTAATTCCATGGCCATTATTATAATGAATCTGATTCACCCGAGAGGGGTTCGGGCAAATTTAAATGTGTTTCCCCCGCACACTGCTCCTTGCTGGGGGGATCCTGCATCCTGCATCCTGCGGACTCGCTGTTTTCGCACCTAGGCAACTGCCAGTCAAAGTCAGCAGCACGGTCGCAAAAAAGTTCGTTGACAACTTTAGCAAACAAATTTTTTTATCGCGCACTTGCCACACCTTCGTGGTTTTTTTTTATTTGTTTTTATATTCAGTTTTATTCATTTTTTTTCGCTGGAAAAAATGGCAAGCGCAGCGTGAAATACGCAGCAACCGCAAATGGTCCGAAACGTAAAAAAATACATCCGAAAATATCTAGCAATTTCGGCTAAATTTAGTAACAAAAAAATAAAAAATAAAAACTATTTTGCTGTTGATAGAATGATTTATTCAATTGTAAAATGTGCTCTCGATTGTGTCAGAGTTTTGCATTAAAAGAGAATCGTGAGAGCGGTTGCATATGTCGTGCTTAAATTACTTCATCAATTAAATCTATATTGTTTTATATGAGTTTATATTTTACGCTCAGCCATAGACTCGTTTCAAGACTGTAAAAAATGTATAAGTTGTATTTAGGAGATTCTGAAAGAGCTCCAAGGTAATCGGTCGAATATTGCCAAGGAGTATCTTTAAGAAAAGTGAGCTAAATGAGTTGTATTATAATCAATTTAGAGTTCACTCACCGATGCTGGCCTTTGGGCCCTCATCATCATAAAAATTATATTTTTGCGAACAGGAATTTCGTAGGTGAACCACTCCGTCTCGTAGGCTGCTGTGGCCACGGCCAGATTCTGTTCCCTCAGCTCATTGGCATACCAGTAAAGGGCCAGGATTTGGGCCAAGATCATGTTGATGTACATGCAGATAATGATTATCTGTCCAATACCGTTTACCTATGTATATATTGAATAATTCTTTAAACTTTAAATATTATATAAATATAAAAGGTTAAATATATCAATATATTCAAATGTTAAATTTGGTGAGACTTATCGATATATAATTCAATATATTGAGACCGCTTCGTAGCACAAAACTTAATTACTTCTAAATTGATTGTACATGATGCAGAGATGTAATAAATTTATTCGATTTGTTTCGACACCTTAGCTTTCGATCGATATATTAAATATAATGTGCATTTATTATTTCCTATATAAACTCACGATAATAAGCAGAAAGAGTAAAGCACAGAGCAGAGCCGAAAAGGCAAGTAGCTCGAATAGGAACATCATTGTGGTCAGCTCATTGATGTGATCCATATACTCTATAATGCTCTGCTGATAGCGAATGCAGTCCACAATCTCCTCCGCCAACTTCCGGTTATCTCGTTGACCAAACGGATGCAGTTTGGCCACCCGGCGAAGGCGATGCTGCAGAGCCTTGCACCGCACGATTCCGAACATAATCAGGGCCACGATAAGACTGGTGTAAGGAATGTACATACAGCAGCCCATCGGGGTGATGACCATCTGGAAGATGTACCACAACTGGTAGTATGGGGTCTCGTACTCATTGACCCCAGGAATCCTGCTGCCAAAGGGAAGAACTGTGCATATAAAACAGTTTATAATTATTTCTTTCCTGCAGAAAAATGCAATTAATCCACCTCTTTCGCTCGAGGATAGAGGATATAGGCCGAAACCCACACAGGTGAGTAGTCCAAAGAATAGATTCCCCTCGCCATCAATTTACCAACCCGGTTCAGCTCATCCAGCTCCTGGGTTATATAGCCATCCCTCAGATTCACCAGATCGTAATAGGCTTCGGCCAGTTTGTTGATCAAGGATACGTAGCTATCGTGGTCGAGCAGTAAGAGAATGGCCCGCAGCACAGTATTTATCCACAAGACCAGCATATAAGAGTTGCGGATTATTCCAATGAGTCCTTCCGTGGTACTGATCATGTACATCAGTTGAGTGAAGATGTGAAAGGTGGTCAGGCCGATGCATATATACTTTTTCACATTGTCATCGTACAGAAGAGCCCAGAAGCGCAGGATGCGAATGTTCATGTAAATTAACTGAATGTCCTCGAACATGGCTTAATCACTTGGCTTGAGTTTCTAATGAAAGTCTGAGGAATTCCACTTCTACTGAAACCTTTTATAGGGTTTACCCAGAGGGAGATTCTTGAATTTGTATACCCTTTTAAGAGCATTACAGTTTTTAAAGTGTATTCTAAACTTACAAGTCAATTATAAACTTTTGTATTAATATTAAAGAACCTTTGTTTTCTTAAAGCCATATAAATTGATATATATTAATTATTATATATTATATATTAAGGGTATTAAGGTTTCTCTATACCTGCATTTTTTTGCTCTGGCACACGTCTTGCATGGACTCCCAGCTGGTTCTCATTTGGTTGCAATTTCTGCCTAAATTGCCAATGATTTTGCAATATTTCTGCCATTGAAAAAATAGCATTGATTTGCTGCTTTTCATGGGCCTTCTATTGATTCTATTTGTGAATTATAATCAGAGGAGGAGGAGGAGATGTAATGGGCAAAACTATTGCCAGTTATCCTGGCTTATGGCACTTGAATGTATTTTTCATTATACAAATTAGGAAACCAGCAGGTGCTTGCCATTTCTAATGCAATCGATTTGATTATATTCGAAACTAATCAAATGTAATCAGTCTAATGTGTTTCACTAATAGTTGCACTGCACTTTAGGTTAGATGGTGTAATTAGCATTTAAATTGTAGATAAGGCTTATCGATCTAAGATAGTATGTTTAAACAAACCTGTGAGTGAGTGATCTGGTGATAGAAAAAGCTTTAATCAAGAGCTTTGTAAAGCTTTGCTGGGGCTATATGTCTCTCAATTAATCAGTTGCCTTCCAACTCTCGCCCTTGGCAGTCCAATTAAGTTTTTGTGGGTGGTGATATCATGGATGGTCAGTGGCTCGTAGTGCTCGCTTTGTTTATTGTGGTGCTCGGATTGCTCTATAAATGGTCGGTGGCTAAATATCACATATTCCGGGAGAGGGGCGTGGCGCATGAGAAGCCATGGCCACTGATAGGCAATATACCCATACGTTCCATGTTTGGTGGAGTGCCGGTATTGAAGCACATGATCCAGATGCATCTGAAATACACCGGATCCCCAGTTTATGGTATTTATGCTCTAAGGGATCCCTACTTCTTCGTCCGAGATCCAGAGCTCATCAAGCTAATTGGCATCAAGGAGTTCGATCACTTTGTCAATCACTATCAGATGCAAAACAACATTCAGGAATCGATACTGTCCAAGAGTCTAATGTCCCTGCAGGATGGACGCTGGCGAGAGATGCGCAACATATTGACACCGGCCTTTACTGGTAGCAAGATGCGGGTCATGTACGACCTGATCCATTCCTGCAGCATTGAGGGCGTACTCTATGTCCAGGAACAGCTCCAGTCCGGCAGCGCTGGGAGCATCGACCTGGAAATGAAGGATTACTTTACGCGTTTCGCCAACGATGTGATTGCCACCGTTGCCTTCGGGCTCAGCGTCAACTCGTTCAGGCGCAAAGATAACGAGTTCTTCCGCATCGGCCAATCCCTGTCCATCATAAGCGCCTGGTCGGTGGTTAAGGCCATGCTCCATGCCCTGGTACCCCGGCTCATGAAGGTGCGTATGCCCCACCCGGGTGTCACTCCAATCTCTCTGAAGATTTTCACTTCGATAAGTGATTCGTATTGACACTTGTTCCATTGTTCTGCCATCGATTTTCTTTTGTTGTCTTGGTTCTGTTTCATTCATTTATTTTGCACAAGTACAAGTTACTTTTAAGGTCCATTTATAACAAAAAAATATTCACAGAAACTTAAACAATACATGTCATCGTATATTTTCGTACAGCTTCTTCGCATTCAGGTGTTGGACACCACCAAGATTGATTACTTCACCAGTCTGGTTAATGTGGCAATGAAATACCGGCAGGAGCACAATGTGATCAGGCCGGATATGATCCACCTGCTGATGGAGGCCAAGCAGCTGAGGCATGCCGAGCTCAAAGATCAGACGAAGGATGCGCGGTACTATAAGGAGTTCACCGACGAAGACCTATTGGCCCAGTGCCTGCTGTTTTTCTTTGCTGGATTTGAGATCATCTCCTCCTCCCTGTGCTTCCTCACCTACGAGCTCTGCTTGAATCCCAAAGTGCAGGATAAGTTGTACGAAGAGATCCTGTCCGTAAATCGGGAACTAAATGGTCAACCTTTGTCCTATGACAAACTAACCAAGATGCGATATCTGGACATGGTGGTGCTGGAGGGTTTGCGCAAATGGCCACCGGCTATAGCCACGGATCGGGTGTGCTGCAATGACATTGATTTGTGTGATGAGAATGGTGCGAAATTGTTCGCCGCCCGGAAAGGGGATGTCTTCCAGATACCCATCTTTTCGCTGCATCGTGATCCCGAAAACTTCCCAGATCCGGAGACCTTTGATCCCGAGCGATTTGCCGAGGAGCGAAAGGATGAGCTGAAGCCCTTCACATTCCTAGCGTTCGGAGTGGGTCCTCGGAATTGCATTGGTAATCGGATGGCCCTCATGGAGCTCAAGTCGATTGTCTACCAGCTTCTGCTGAATTTCAAGATGCTGCCGGCTGAAAAGACCACCAGGGATATGCTGGAGGACATTGTGGGCCACGGACTGAAGCCAAAGAGCGGCTTCTGGCTGAAGTTTCAGAAGCGTCAGTAAAAAAAGAAGAGAAAAACTTCGATTGCATCTTTGTTCATTAATCGACTGCAGATTTTTCAATTAAAACTCGCATGCACCATTAATCAATCAGAGCGAGGGCGATGGCGGGGGGATTTATTTAATTAATTTCAGTGCACTTCACCGCAAATGTCTTGAGTTAATCGAGAGTAATTGGCGAAACATCAGCCCAAGGAGCGGTGCCGGTGACAGGCGCCGATGGCCCCGACATACGCTCCTCAAGCTCCTTGTCCGGCTCTCAGTTGACGCCGGAGGAAAAACAGAAACTCCGGCGGGAAACAGGACGACGCAGCTGAGGGGCCGAAAAGTTTCTGACATTCTCGTTATTTATGTGCTCCGGAGCGTCGGTATTTAGGCAAAAGTTTTTGTCGGCTGGCCTAAGCAGTTAATACGATATTGATTTATTCGCCAGTCAACAGCTGTGAGATAATAAATATTATGCAGCAGCTCAAATACATATTTGAAATCTTTCGACTTGTCCAGGGCGAAACTTTTTGTTTTGATTTCCAGATTTGATTTATAAAGCGGCCAGCGATTAAGCTTTGATCCGGCCCAGACTTTGGCCCCAAGTTTTATAAGCCTTATAAGTTGGGTTCGTTTTTCGGGGGAGAAGGGGAAATAGCCAAGGGATCTGTTTTCCCATGGAGTGAGAAAGTTATCCCCCAACAAAAGTTTACCAGGCGCGAGGAAGTTGAACTTTTTCCTTTGTGTTTTTTAAGCATTTTTATCCCCTCGGTTGATAATTATTTTTCTTGCCAGTTGACGTTTCAGAATTTGTCCTGGAAAATTACAAGATTTCTCATCCTCAGATGGTGGTGGTAGAATCACGCAATTTGTTGCTGGGCTCTGGAAAGCAACTAGTTTACATGAAGACAAGCAACCAAGGCAACTTGACCATAAGCCGGGCCCATTTGCATAATTATTCATTGCGCAGCATTATGAGCATAAATAGAATGCTGCTCCACTGCACAGCCACACACATGAGGGGAGCACATGTGAAGATAATGCCTTGTTCAGCATAATAAACTCATGTGAATGCCTTGGGGTATGTCACGTTTTTCGAAACATCGAAAAGGGTATGTTCAGGTCGAGTAAATTCCTGTAAGATGGTGAGGAAATAGCAAACTAATATCACAGTATATTGTGAAAACTGCAACTTATACACATTGGTTTCTAGATACTTAAAATATGTTACAAATAGTTGCATATGACTTAAAACTACATTAATTAAGTTCTAAAGTTAAAACTACTATATTTTGAATACATAATTCCAATAAACTATGTGAGGAATATTTACAAAAATGTATTAAGGAAGAACCTAATTTTATTAGGCAACTAAACACATTTTAAAATGGCTATTTATGTATATCATTTTCAAGTTACATTAAAATCCGGGTAATAACATAGTCGTGACTAAACCAATGCCTTCTTTCTCGTCCTTTCTTATTTATTGTTGAGCATTTTTTATGGCCCAACCGCAAGTTGTTCCGGGTATTTATGGCCAACATTACAAACTGATGCACTTGCAATCCGCTTGCAGTCGTCTCCTACTCCCTCGGAATACCAATTGCAATAATAATGGAACACTTTTCGGCTTCAGAGAAGAATCCAGTCGAGAGAATCCATTCTATATAACAGATTAATATTGCCTAGCATACATATCCGCATACATATCTGGATGTGGGATTGCGTCCATTCCAGGTGGCGGCTTTCGAACTGATCCCGTCCTTGACGCTGCTGCTGCTCGAAATTAAACGCAAACTCCGACAAAGCTCCAACTATTCTCATAAAACTGACATGTCTGCTCTGTGCTGGAATCCCTGGGTGAGATTGTGTGGCGGCGGGGACAACCCTAACACCGAAATACTCAATTAAATAAAGTTCAACTCGAAATTGCATTACATTTATGAACGTGTGTGCGTGGCGTTGTCCTTGCAGGAATGTCATTGAATTTATCTGCCAGGTTTTTCCTCCACAAAAACCGCACGGTGCGGAAAGTTTTTCCACAGCAATGTGCTTATAGAAAATCTCATATGTGGGCTTCGCAGATGTTTCACGAAAGCTGCTTGGAAAATAATAGAAATTGAGAGAGAGAAAGAGAGGAACTTTGGGAAATTCAGTTACTTTACTAAAGGGTAATACCTTATTTTCTGTATATTATTTAGTGAATATTTATCAGCTTATTTCGATTATTAAAAGTTGAATTATGTTTATTTAAATAAATTACCTTTTCCAGATATTGCAAAGATTACATTAAATTTTGTCACATTAATTACCCCCGTTTGAGGTGCCGGCTCATGATATACATTTTTTTACCCATTTCCGTTGATAATTTAACATCCAATCGAATTTCATAAACGGAAATTTAATTAACTTTGATGCGGCCTAATTACAATAATTGCATTTAAGGCTTTAAGCCACTTTGAAAACGGTCGACTGGGTGGAGCTGGCGTAACTATTGACAACCTGCAGCCAAAGCAATTAATTTAATTTACAAAATTCGGCCCGCCGCCTTTCTATGCAAATATAGTGCATATATTTGTATATGCGCATATATCCGATATATAGTATTTACAGTTAGTATTCCCAGTTAATATGCAGCCAATTGTTGGCAGTTTGCGGTTCGGCACAAAGGCCGTCCTGTGGCCTTTGCCACTACTTAGCCAAATTGCCACACTGAGTCCTGTGCATGGCAGGTCGCATTAAAATTTTATGCATATAATTTATGTCCATCCGGGGAAGTGTCCTGTGTGTGTGCGAGAGCTGGTGCCGATCCCCACAGCAAGTTGATTTAAATTGATGCATGACTTTATTAGGGGAATTATAATCTGAACGGGACAAATTGATGAGATATTACTCATACGCCAGAGACCGACCATTCATTTCACAGCTTACGTTTTATTAGAATTCTAGGCCTTGAAATGGCCTAGGAAGCGGCAAGACAATCTTGTTTGGGATTAGCCCGAGCTCTCTACGTTCACTGGGCCATTTCGCCGTTTTATTATTTCCCTTATTTTCCAAAAGACCGGCTATAAATACGTATACGCGCGCACATCCCAACATCCTGTGCATCCGTTTTCCGGGCCTTTTATGACAGCCCAAAGTGCCTACTTATAAAATCAAAATCATAAAAAATAATGTTAATTTCAATATTGTCTCATTAAATGTGTATAAAACTCCAGCCGGTGAGCACATGTGTGTATGTGTCTGATGAAAGAAATTTCCGGCTGGACGAAGGGCGTGGGGGGCAATTTGTTCATTTAACCTGCCTCATTGCATAGTGGTTGAAATTCAGGGCTTAATAGGTTAAAAAAAATATTATTAGCTACATTTAATAAATCTATTTAAACATAAGTTTGTTTTGCTCAACTAGCTCTTTAAATGGAACAACTTATTAAAATTCTATATTCTATTCTCCTAAGAGACACATGGCGTATACTTAATTTTAGGGGTTTCACGTTAAGTATACGCCATGTATGCTAGATCTATCTTAAATCGAAGACAGTTTTATACCCTTTCAGGGTATTATAATTTTAGTCAGCAGCATTTAATGCAGCGAAGGATTCATTTCCGACTATATGAATTATATATATTCTCGATCAGCAATAATAGAAAAGTTAAACTAGCCATTTCCGGTAGAAAAGTAAATTTTCAAAATTTTTACAAAATTTTATAAGGGGTTACATTGTTAAAATTGTCAAAAATGAGCAAAAATTAGAATTTTCTTAAAATTTAAATAAAGTATGCAGACTTATTAGCCAAACAAAAAATAGTAAAGGACAGCTTTCCGAATTAAAATTAATGCATTAATGCATAATTGGCTGAGCTATGAGTTTAAACTGTGAGTTGTTGAACAAATTGTTATGTAATATCATATAAAAAAACACTTTTATGAAAAGTCTTTGATCTTTATTCGATTCCCAATTTCCATGAAAATCGACCCACTGTTCTGGTTTTTTATTTTCCCCAAGTATGGGTGCGTGAAATTTAAATAAAACGTGCGATTGTCGAGCAGCTGTTGCCGTTTCCCCTCAGCCGGGAGTGACGTGGCAAAGGACGAACGACGCAAGGATACCAGGATCGACGGGACTGACAGTTGAGAATCACGCACCCACACGCACATATAAAACACGTGAAGTTGGCGCCGGATGCTGGCAGGGTATGTGTGTGTGTCCGTGTATGTGTGTATGTGTGTATGTCACACTCTCTCACACGCACAGCGGTCGGGAAATGTGACAGGATGTCATTTTGCAACGCATCCGAAACATAAACACACGCTTTTCTTTTGTACTCCGCCTACATATATATGTGAAAATTATGCTGCTAAAAGGCGGCAAATGTTTGCATTAGTGTCTCCTCCTATATTTATATATGTGCATATGTATGTGTGTGGGAGGGTAAGTTTTCGGAAAACAAGCGAAACTAGAAAATTTGCATAAGCGTCGCTCCATTATCACAGCTTTTCCTGGGTACGCGGTTGTGTGTATGTGTTTCATTTTATTTAAAATACACGTAATATTCATAATATGACACAAATGCTTGTCTCATCGTCGGAAAAAGGAAAATATGCTTAACACACACGGGAAACTTGTTGATTTCGCTTTTAAATGCCACTCTAATAGTTACTCTTAAAGCGTGTTTTTGCGGTAGGAACTGCATTAATTAATGAATTAATGCAATTTATTTAACATGCAATAAAACCATTTTAAAACAATTTATTTGCCATAAATTATTTGTATCGAAATAAAATGAGTATTGCATAATTTACATACAGTAATGGCAATCATTTTCGTTGACTTGTTGTTTGGTTTTCGGTTCCTGTTTCCTTCCCTGAATTTATATACTATCTGATTCTCTATAAAATGTAATGTTTAGTGTTTGCAAAACTCAAGCCACATAAATGAATACATTTTAATTAATGCGTAGTTGTACTTTATTGGATTTCACTTCCACGGGGCAAACAACAAACAACAACTGATAAGCAACAAAAACAAAAAGAACAATTCGTATATTACTTATTTAGCCAGTTGGCTTTTTAGCCAACTGACCACAAATTCAAATATGCAAACAATTAATTTAAATTGTTTCGGTTTGTTCGAATAGAATACTATTATCTCTGTGATTGCGAAATTAGTAAGCTAATTGAATTTGCAAGAAGGCCAAAGGTTATGAAAAGTTAATTATTTGTGAAATATTATGACCCCACCTCATAGAACACTTTAAGTAAATTAGATATTTTATAAATTAAATTATATATAAACAAACTAGCCCCAAGTGCAAGCTGTCATCAGTCAATCAATCAATAAATATCAATGAAGGTGGGAAAAAGGACGATTTCTTCTCACATTTAATGCTTCGTTTAACCAATGAATATTTAGAATTTCAATCAACTCAATTAATTTTAAACTATGAACTCAATTGTCTCCCTCTAATTGTATACAATCGGTGTAGACACGTACTTGTCAAGTAATTAAATCAGTTTATCACAAATATTTCAAATTCAGCGAGCTGGCAGACTGACTCTAACAAGGGGTTGTGTAGGTGTCAGGTGCTGGGACGTACAGTTGATATACACGACACATACATGCATTAATAAATTGCTTCGACTCTTGTTCCTTCCCTCGAGACTTCCCTGTAAGTCTGCTTAACACGAGCGTTAATGTTTAGTTGGCATAATTAAAACAGAAATAGCAGGCAAATCAAGCCAGACGTCGTCGTCGTCTCTGTAAATATCCGCACTAAGCTGAAATTGCGCAAATAATGATAGAGTTGGCAAACTTTCTACACCCACTTTTCCCCCCGGAAAATCCCCCCGTCTTTTCCACATCTATGTGTGTATAGGTATACTACCTAGCCCATATGCACGAACCTGACGAAAGTCAACAGGGTAGAACTGCTATTTAAAGGCCCAAGGCTTATTTGCCTCATGTTGCCGGGGCTTCTGTCATTTGGCCTATTGATTTTTGCAGGTGGATAACCTTAAATTTTGCCAACACAACTTTTGGCCCTAAAAGTCTATGTGTACACACGGAGCAGTGAGTTTGAAAAGTCAAGTAAAGAATAAAATAAAATACATTGTAACTTGTATGACAAAGTAAAGCTATTTTAAATGTAAAATGTATGTCAAATCAAGTGATTTTATCACAATATACCATTTAGCTACTACGAACTAGTGCTTCAAGTCTCTAGAGATGAATAAATTACGAGAATAAAACCTTTTAAGCTTCTCTCAGTGTACGAAAGATGGAGAAACACTTGAGGCTACGTCGCCAATTTCAGGACGAAGGGCCAAACGTAGTCAAAGTTTGTCTTTTTGAGGGCAAATAAATTTAATAAGCGCATTCAAGTTATGCCAAACTTTAGTCGAGTTGGCCAATTTGATTATGACAGTAAGTGATTTCTTTGTGTGTTCGTTTCTTCTTGCCTTCGCTCCTCGGGGCTGCCTCCTCTGTGTGCGTGTGTGTGTGTGTGAGCGAGGCAGGATCGTAATTAACTGGCCTAAGCGTTGCATACTTTCCAGCTGCGTCCTGGTGGCGCAAAAAGGAAATATAACAAAAAAAATATTAGGCTATCCCTTTGGTTGTTCTTCTCATATTTCATTAGCCTTATCGCAGTGGTAGTGCTCCGGCGACCCAGACTAATTTATGGGGCATTTATGGGCACATTGCAGACCTATTAACAATGTGCAGTCAAATTTAATTTTAGCTACAACGCTGTCCAGCGCAACAAAGCGCTCCCAAAAAAAAAAAACGAACAGCAGAACAGAACATTCGAATTTATGTGACAGCATTTGAAATTTATTTGCTGCAACGATTACATGGAACTGGCGATGGCTGCGGAGATTGGAGCCTGCAGCTCTCTCTCTTACCGTGGCTCTTCCTCTAAAGTTCCATTGACCCATTTTGGGCCAGTATCTGGCCAAACTAACACACACACATATACATAGTAACCCGTTTTTATGCAAAGTTTTTTTTTCCGCCCCTTCCTTCGGCCAGCCGGCCAACAATGTGAACAGAAGGGAAATGTTGCCGGGCCGAAGGACGAGGAGCCAATGCACAGGCGATTAGTGCACCATTTGGCCGGGATGTGCTAAGCGAGTGTTTATGCGTCGCTGAGAGTTCACATTTATCTGAAGGATTAGCTAAGGGTTTCGTGGAATCCTGAATTAGGGCCCTGCTGAGCTTGAAATATTCATCAGCATTTTTGAAGGGGGGATAGCAGGGAGTATACGTAATAAATTTCAACAGAACAGGTGTTCATTTTTATGAGGAGAGTGGTTTGGCTTTTATTAAATGACTTTAGCACTTGGTGGCTTAAGATAAAAGCCAAAAAGATTCTAAGGAAATTGAGTAATCTGTTGAGTTTTATGTATCATCTGAATATAAATAAGAATTTTCAGTTTCTGTAATTTAAAGGACGTCAAATGTAAATGCCATATGTTATTGCATTCTAAATGTGTCTAGGTTTTAGTGTTTATTAAATTAAGCCATTTTCTTATTTCTTTCGCATAAACGTAATTTTATGAGCTATTGTCTGCCACACACACACACACACACACACACACACTGTCGCATTTCATGTGGCTGCTGCTGCTGTTATTTACTGTTATTTGTTTAGCCGGGGATCCTGTTTATTTTTGGGCTTATTTGTTGCCATTGTTGGCTGTCATTGTTATGCCCCTCGGTAACTGGGCAGTCGGAATACTACTACAGTCCAAGGATCTGTAGGTCCTGGTCACTGGCCGCCAGTGGTGGATGGTGGTCTTTGGTCTATGGGCCACTCGGTTGACCAGTTAGTGCCGTCGCAAAATGAAATATTCAAGTGCGCATTAAGCCCGCATGCCCCAGTTCCGCTGCATGTCCTGCTGCAGCTGAAGTTGTTCCAGCAGCAGTTGCCTTTCCCGTTGCTGTTGCTGTTGCCGTTGCAGTTGCAGTTGCAGTGGCAGGACCTGCTGCATTGGCAACTGCATCGGGGGCTTTGGTAATTGCGAATTTACCACAGGAGTCTGCATGCGGCCGGCTGGCAATTGCACTGGCAATGATTTTCGCCCTCGCCCACTCCTGGCGCATATGTTGATTTCAATTGATTCTTGCTTTGTGGCTGCGTTGCTTTGCTGGTTTCAATTTTGGTTTCATTATACAATGCCCCAAACGCAGGGTCATCTTTGTGCTTCCAGCTCCATGCCCTGGGCGGGCACAAAGGCATATTATAAATGCCATACAGACAGATACTGGCCAGCTTCAATTGGCTTAAATGGACAGCCATTAAAAGTTCCAGCAATTGTTGTTCACTTTTCCTTTTATCGGCAACAATTTCAAGTTTTTCCATATCCTCCGGCAGCTGCTAACTAAGTGTGTGTTTGCTATTGGCCAAGAGGTAAAATCGGATTTCAATTTTAAGCAAATGTTTTTAGGCAGAGATATGGGAAGTAATGGAGATCGAAGTATTCGTTTAATAAACTTGGCTTTCAAATGCTTCAAATAATTCCTTTGTCAGTTGTTTTTGGCAAGAGATTTTGGTTTATTTTTACGATTTGCTTCAGGTGCTCTTTATTCGGAAATGTTGAATAGTTTTATTTAAATGAAATAAAATGTAACATTGCCTTCCTGTTAATTGTTAAAGCAAGTTTTAAGTAACAAAACGAACTTTCTTTACATAAAAGATGATACTTTTTATATGTATAATAAATAGCTTTTAAAGTAAATTAAATTTGAGCTTTCGTTTAAAATGTTTACAATATATTTTTGGCTGCTGTCAATTAGCAAAGCCAAGGCTACATAAATAAGATGCAAACTACTGACTGTTTTTCCCCTAAAGAACACCTTGATTTGCATGCACTTTTTGTGAGGATATAAAACATAAAACTAACTATGGCATTTTGAACAATACATAAATGTAGCTCTGTACTGTTTCAGTACTTGAAACTTTTTGCACATCGCACCATAAACGAGAGTTATGCGCAATTACGCGGAAGCAAAGTTAACTTTTTTCCACTTTCGAGGGAATTTGTGGTCAGAAAATGTGCGCTTTTTAATCTATATATCAAAGGTAAAGTTAGTAACTAACAAAAAAGATATAATATATACATTTTCAACTGTCTTTGGTCAATCAGAAAACAATTGAACGCGGCGATTTAACAACCTTGCCTAACTCTTTTCAAAAGGATGGACATTAAGGGTAAACATTAAACTTTCATTAGTGCAAATAAACACAATTAAGTTGAAGAAGCTTACAAAGGCTTTTGGCCTGCTAAATGTTTTCCTATGCAAATTGAAATAGTTGGTGAAAATGTACTAAGTGGAAACATGTAATGGATGTGGGCGGAAAGGGGCCTGGTAGGAGGTTGTTGTGCATATTTGGGTTGCAAGTTTTTGGGGGAATGGCAAGCCGGAAACTAGTGACTGCATTATATGGCATGCCAAAGGAATATATTTCAGTTCTGGCATTTGTGGATGTTTATTAATTGTTGGAGAGAATTTAAGCAGAGCAATTTTCAAATGGTGGACTATGTAGGAAGTTTCTCTATTTAGTTTTGGTGAGAGAAGGATTATTACTATGCAATACTTTTAAGAGATTACATAAAGTTCGGGAAGTGTTCTGACTAGCAACTATAGTAATAATTTTCTGTATATTTAAAATAATAGATAAAACAACTTTAAAGCTCTTTCTAATATGATAAATTACCATAATACAACCCCTATATCCTACAGTTAAAGGACAATGCAGTGCATTAGAGTGCATAGCAAAAAAGAATATTTAGAAAAAGCGCCAGGGATTATTGAAGGACGACTGACTCCGGTTCCATCAAGCCACAGATTCCATTGTAGCGTAAAATCCGAGGGCACAACTAACCATCGAACTGCCAGAAATATTGGTTTCCTTCTTATATACTTTTTATGAGTCCTCTCCTCCTTTTGCGTTTCTGCTACGACAGCCACATTATGGGAACTTGGGTGCCGGTCTGCTTATCGAGTCGAACATTTTGTTTAATTGAAGTATTCGAATTTGGGTTCAGTTGACTGAACAAATCTAACGATGTTGGTTGGACCGCAACAATGGCGAACTCTTATCGGGGATAGTTTGACGCCAAGCTGTAATTGAAAATCAGTGGCGATGCAATAATATTTATAATTTATAAATACCGAAGACAACTGCTTCATATATTAAATAATAATGGGACAGAGCAGAGCACAGCATTCCTGCTCGTTTGCCACTTTCCGCTAAGTAGTTTACTTTGCTTTCGGCCATAATTGAAATGCCAATGCTGTGAAGTGTGAAGTGTTTGCACTGCACAGCATTCAGGATCTCTTCCATTTTGGAGTTGTGAAGGGTATATAGCGATTTTCGGGTAGCTGGAAAAATTCTGTTGATGTTTTCCATTTAAATGGACGACTGAGTGGCGGTAATCAATCAAATTTCAGCGACACACATGAATGCTGTAATTGAATAGCCTTGAATATTTTATATACAAGTGCTGCGGTCTTTAAGGGGGAAGGATACAATTTGTGAGGTGTTGTTTAATTATTAAATTCTTTAAAATGTAGAAAATATATAGATAATAATACAAATAATCTGGTTTTTTGTTCAAAAATGTATATTATTATTAGTGTTCCTTTGGGATTTGAAAGAACGAGCTGAATATCTGCTATGACCTGGTATATAATCTGGTTGCTATACTGATTGCTCTGTTCTATAATTCCTAATTGATTTGCTTGAAATGTATCTTACTTAAGGTATTCCCTATTCGACTCTAAGAAATGTATGTTTCAGTTGCATTGCTCTATATATTTCTACTCAGAACTCGACTGGTTTATAAATGGCATTCATTGTCGCTGAGTTGGCTGCTGCTCCTGCTCCTTTCTTGCTCCTGCCTTGGTCTGTCTGCGTTTCCTCTCAACTCAAGTTAACCATTTTCCTTCGGCATTTTCCACCGCTATTTCGTTTGCAGTTTTTTTTTCTGTATCGCATTGCAGTTGCATCAAGTAGAAAAACCAATTTGCAGCTATCAAAACGAAGCTGCGAATGGAGCGGGCAAAAGTGGCAGCGATTGATCGATTTGTTGTCTGCCGGCTGATGTTTGCGAAGCTTTTGAAGTTTCCAGGACTACGGCATATAATTGCGGACCGTACATAGGGGGTGATAATAAGGGTGGAGAGCAGAGATTATGGGAGTCCACTTGACCCGGATTACGGCCACACCAACTCATCCTATTATACGTTGGGTTTATGCGGAGTTCTATTCAGAATTATAAATTCGACTTAAGCTGGGTTTGGGGAGGTACTTTTAAAGGTCTTAGAACTAAGTTGAGAAGGTTCTTATACTTATCTTTTCTATGTTTACTTTTGGAAATCTGATATATATTCTCAGATACTCAGTATAAACCCTCTGCGGTTTCCTTGCGCCAAACTTATAACCGCATAAAGCTCAAAGACAAATGCACAGATTGAAGTCGATAGCACTTGATTAACGTGTGTGATGGCTTGCGTTCCAGGTGGGGTTTCAGGTGGGTTTTCGGGGATTACTTTCCGATAAGGGGGCAGGGCGGTGGTGGGGAGAGAGAGTGCCATGCAAATGAGCGCCCACACACACGGGAAAAGGTGCGAAGGGCGCTGCTAATGAAGGCGGCGAAGAAACCGGCAAACGCCAGCGCACAATCACCATCAGAATCACGAAGGCAAATAGGCAAACAAGCCGCCAGGTGAGTCAGCGCCTTTTCAGGTGATGTTCAGGTGTTCGTCTGGCGGCGATTTCGGTTGAAGAAGGGTGGAGGGAGGACTGAGAAAGAGAGAGTTTTGTTTGCCGTTTAGCTTATCGCTGCTTAGCTTAATTAAAGCGCTTGACGTTTCGCCAATTGCCAGTTGGCTTTGATTTCTCGGTCAGTTACCAGGTGTGTTTTATTGGAGTGTGTGTGTGAGCCTGAGAATTGTTTCACATACCTGCAGAGAAAAAATAAGAATAGTTATAATTTGATTTATTTGCAGGATATTAACATTGTAACGCTGGGAAGAAGTCATTTGCGACGCTATAAATCATACATATTCTTGATTAGAATCAAAAGTCGAGTCGATCTGTTCATGTCTGGTTAAAAATAATTTTTTAAAATTTTTTCTAAATTTTAAATTTTCAAGGGGTTACATCTTTAAAATTTAAAAAATTGCAAAAAATTTGAATCTTCTAAAATATTATATAAAGTAAGTTTTATTTTGTTAAAGAAATCTATTGTTTATTCCATTAATTTTACCTCTACCCTTCAGGTAATTATTATTGCTGTAAATTCTCTTGTAATCAATTTTTCTTAAAACACAACAGATAGGTTTTTTTTATTATGATTATTATACACGCTATATTATTATTATACATTAATTAAATGGAAAGAAAGAAAAATAAAGTAAAATGTTATTTTGCAGATTATATTTAAAGTCATTTCCATGGTTTCAACATCAAAAGGTTACATGTATTAAATAAAATAAAAACATGCCCTACATCCATTCACAAAGCTCCCGTAAAAAAACATTTATTTTTTACTTACATTTCTATTTATTTTTTCAAGTGCTTCCGTCAGCTAGATTTCCTGTTTTTTCCGTGCGATAAATATCACCCCAAACTAGGTGTTTCTGTCGAGGTTAATTAGTTTCGCCCGCATACGTACTCGTCCTCGTACTCGTATCTCTGCATTTATTTATTTTCCGCATTCATAGCATACTTTCCTGCGCGCGGCCTGTCTATTTTTTGAAACGGAATTTCCATTCAGGCGCAGCCCCGGGCCATTGTTGATTTGAATGATGGAGCGATGGAGCGATGGAGCAGACAGACAGACAGACATCCGACTGGCCTCTTTTCGGCTTGGCTTTGTAATGCGACCAGACAAATACAGTGGGCCATAGAGTATCATTAATAAAATAATGCCACAAGAAGAATGGGAGGCTCATACAAAAGGAGACGGAGCCGTAGGAGAGGCAACAAAAACAGCTTTGCAAGTAGCCAGGACTTAAGGATGAGGCCGTGGAGGTAGGTGGATGTGGCAGCATAACGTCTCTAATTGAATTTCTTATGGTCCATTAACTGTCAGGACCGAAAATCCTCCGACCAAAACGAGGAGTCCTCCTCCACGACAGATCCAAGGCGGCATCGCATGGAATTGGAGCGAAGGTGAAGCCACTGCTGGAGCCAACTGAATGAGTAAGCAAAGAAAACCGTAAACGTGACAGTTTTTAACAATATTTAAGATGTCAGCATGATATATCGTTTAATTTATGTATTGTGGGCGTATAAAGTGGGTGTACCCGCTCCAGCTCCTTCGTGCTTTTGCCATCAATGGAAGACCAAGTGGAAAATTTAATAAAAACATTTTGCAAGCATTTTCGACGGACCCCGAGACTGACGGGGGCTTAAGCATGAAAATGTAATTAGAATGAAGCCTGGAGTGGAGCGAAGCGGACATGCGATGGCGATGGCGATGGTAAACAGGAACCGGATCTCTCGCATTCCATAATAATAAATAACATTAATCAGAAGATAAAACAAATAGTGGGGACATGCCGGCACTCGTTTAGCTACCAATTTGCATAGTTTCTGCAGTATACATATATATATAAATATATATGTATCCCAGTTTCCCTTCCGCAATTTTCCAACCTGGCGGAAACTGCAGTGCAAAGAGCTGGAAAACCCAGGACCAGGCAGGGACGAACCACCTTCTTCTTGGCGGAAAACTAGCAGAGGCCGCTCTGCACAGGTAGCGTTGAGTTTCGAGCAGGACTCCGGGTCGAACTTCCTCTTCCTGTTTATGCTGACTGAATTATTTATGCAAATATTCGCCGGCTGGCGACCTTAAAGGCACTTTAATGCCTTCCTCGTCCGATATTTGTGAATGAGTTTCAGGCGAGTTGTACGCTCCAATGGCTTCGAATGGCCTGGGAAATGTTGAAGGCATTTTTATTTAAACTGCAGCTGGCCGCCGCCTAATCCTCACCTAGGCAACCATGTTTTGAGGCTTGCAGCGCATTTCCATTTTCATTATTGCCATTTCCCCGAAAGCCCAGCCCGCTTACATTCGCATTTCCATTTCCATTGATTTTCCTCCTGCTTCAGGACTTTTTTTACACCATTTTCCTTTCCTTTTTCGTGGCTGGCCAGCAATAATGAACCATTATGGCCAATTACGTTGGCAATCTGGTTAGCTTTTAGCGTTTTCCATTTACCTGTGTGCCAGCAGGCTTCGGTGTTACACAGGGACACCCTGCTCACGTGGCGTATGCGTAATGTGATCCAGGCTTGGTGTGACAGACACCGCAAATTTGTAGCCATCTTGCCGCTTAGAGTTGCATAATTAAAGTGTCGCTGCAGGCTCAATTCGATTGCGATTCCCTTGGACAAGACCGGGGCTTATTGCAAATCCCGTTCACTAGTTGCGCCCACAGCAAAGTACAATTCCAGGCACGTACATACATCTCAATCCCCCTCCTAGGCTGCTCTCCGGGCTTTACAATGTCAATGCCACGGAGGGATCTGTGATGCCAACTAAGGGTCACTAGCATAAAGACACAGCTAAATATAAAGAAATAAGCTGAGATACTGCGTACTTGGCAACGGAAAAGGATAAAGTAATGGGGCTTAAGAATAGAGTATATAGCTTCTCGTACTTGTTATAAAAAGGAGCATAGAGTCTAAATAATAACCTCTTTAACTATGTTTAAAATACAATATATAATATATTATAAATTAATATGATAAAATATTCTTCGACTTAAGATATTTTAAATAATTTAAAGGGTTATACAAGTCTTAATCAATTTAAATTCGAAGCTTTCAGTAATCCTTTCTAAATATTTTTATAGGCTCTCTTACATAATATCCATTATTTAAGTTAATTATTGAGTTACTTAAATGTAAACTCATATATAGAAAAAACACTCTACTTTACTGGCAACACTGATCTGTGCTGGAATTGGTTTGGAATGGACAACTAACCCCTGGGACGGCACCCTGGGGCACAGTTAATAATAATTGCTGGGCTGGCATTGAACATGAACCTTCATCAGGATGGCGGATTACTTGGGTGGCCGTTTTGCTAAAATTGTCACGTCGTCGCAAGTCTAGCGAAATAAATATATAAAGGTGTCAAGCCCGGTCACTAGCCCAGGCCCATCATCCAATAAAGTTGAGTTTTTTTTTTTTTTAAATTAAGCTCCTGGCAAGATGACTGGATGACTGGATGAGTTGTTTACCAACTCAATCCTTAATGAGGGCCCAGGGGTGGGGTGACTTTCGATTCGAGGCTTTAATAAATTATTGCCTCTGGATTCTTTCTTTACTTTCTCGCACTCCTGCTCGAACTCCTTGGCAGATGAAAGGGCATTGCGGAAAAGGTTAAATGTGTTGATTGTGCAGAATCGCTGGGGTCACGAGTGCGAGTGCCAAGTTTGGCTGGAACAAATGCAATTTCCTCGTGGCAATCAGCCATGACTTTAGCGAAAAGCATACGCACTTAATTAATTTCAATTAGCTATACACACTCACACAAAAAAGCTTGTTCTCTGTCTATATCTTTTCCCGTTTCCTTTGGCCTGACTAAAACTAATTTCCTATATTTCTTGGCAGTTTCGTTTGTGTTGCAAGCGAGTCGCCGTCTTTTATATGAAAATTTCAAGCAAAGTAAGCGGAAATTCTCCTATGTTCCTTCTATTTTTAATTTTTTCCTGGTATTGGGATCTTTTGGCATAGTTTCATTGATGTTTTGTTACTCTGATATCCTTGCAGAGGTTATTACTAGTTTAGTCAGTGAAGGAATCATTTCCGACCCTACAAATCATATATATTCTTGATGAGCAGCAAAGAACTGAGTCGATCTAGCCATGTCCAGAGGAAAATATTTCAATATTTTATAAGGGTTACATCGTTATCACTGAACAGTTTTCCGAATTGATATTTAATATTTGGTTTAGTTATGATATTTGAAAAACTTTGATTAAGCCACAAAATTAGCACATAAATATATCGATTTAATACACATATTTAAGGTTTTCTTTGAGGTAAACAAAGGACAAAAGTCAATCATTGCCAAAAAGAATATATTCGCAATCAAATTATTACTCAATAAAAATAAATAATTGGAGTGGAATGAATGTTTGCAATTCATAATTTTATATTTTCCAAAGGAAATGTATGCAGCAAAGAGTTTACTTATTATTTCTTTAAAGATTTGTATATGTGTGTAGTCTTTATGGAGCCATACATGTGCGAATGTCTGCGGCAGCTCCAGTTTGATTTTCCCAGGAGACGACGTCGTCCTGGCTTATTTTTATGTGCAAACAAATAACTCTGTGGCTACCGCAGACACTTCCATTTCCTTCCCTAACAGAGCTTCCTCCAGGACTCTCTACAACCCAAACTCTCTCCACTTTCTCCTCGGTTACAAGTGCAATAAACTTGCCAGTGACTTTGATTGACAGCTTTGGGGTTTCAACTCACCAAAGTCAACGCCAACGGCAACGGCCAAGACGAGCAACAAAAATTGGCATTTTCATTCAATTTAAATGCATTAAATAAATACCTGCTCCACGGGGCGAGTACTTTTACATGTACATATAGAATTTGAATTAAATTTTCTCATATATCGCAAAAAGAGGTCGAATTCCATGTGGAATATTTGTATATGCTAATAGCGAAAATTCTTTGAAAAATGTAATATTAATGCTGCTGTCAGTCGAAGGTAAATAAATCGTTATGGGTTATAAGAAAAAGAAAGCACTTAGAGAAGCTATTAAATTTTAGCTTAAATAAAATATCACTAAGCTAAACTTTAAGAGAGTCCTAATAAAACTCAAATAAATGCCAAACCTGACATTATATTGAACAACATTAAATTATAATTATGCGAAATACACTCTCCATTTAGTGAATCATAGTTTCTGACATAACAAGTCCCTTGATTCAGTTTTCCTTTCATTCCTGACACACCCGAAACCATAATCAGTTCTCGACTATAACTAGCATCCCGCATGCTCTTGTTAATATGCAAATTATAATTATAGCCCCTGCTTCCCCCCTCACCTGGCACCTGGATGCATCAAAATTCAGGTATAACTGAAATAGAGCTGAAATTGCATGTTTATGTTATGCAAATTTTGCTCTCTAATGCCAAACGCGTTTGAACATCTGAGAATGCAACAAATGCTGTGTAATTTTCATTGTTTATGTGCGGAAAGGGCCAGGGGTTATGCCGATGCCGATGTATCTTTATATATGTACATACATATATGGTGAACAAGGATCAGCTGGAACCAATTCCGTTGTCATGAATAACACATGAATTTCCGCCCTGAACGTACATACAATATGTATCAAAGTTGATATGAAAATGTTGCAGAGTTTTGAAAACATGAGCATCCTTAATTACTCATCTGGTTTATGAAGCGGCTAATTGAATTTCCAGAGTTCATCTTTCGCAATTCTATAGTTAGAGATATAAATCAAATTTAATTTTCAAATTCTCCAGGTCCAACATATAGTTACAATACTGTGTATTACTTTCTTTTGAAAGGATGTGATTTAAAATGTAAAATACCGGTATATAAAAAAACAAAACTTTCTTCAGGAAGAAGTAATCAAATTATAGGATTGAATCGGAAATCAATCTTAACTAAGCCTGACGAGCATTAGCTAGTTTTTTAGGCGAATAAATCTGCTAACTTTGTTATTTTTATAAAACTTTATACCATTTATAAAATTTAAATTTGTACCAAATTTTAACTATTTTAACGATAGAAGTACTTGTAAAATTAAAAAAAAAATGTATTATCCTTCCTCCATGCCTAGAAAGGTTCGCCTATTGATGCCATTCAAGGATATATATGATTAATACGGTCGGAATTGACTCCTTCACTGTGTTACAAGCTACTGACTAAAGCTACAATACCATTCTTGACTCGGTTTTATTACTATTTTATATGACAATTTGTTCAACAATTTAAAGTTTATAAAACGCATAACTCAGCCCTAAATTCTTTAATTTAATTCGGAAAGCTGTTCTATGTTAGTTGCTACAAGGCTAATAACTCTGCATACTTCGTTTACATTTAAATAAACTAAAATTTTTCACAATTTTTAAAATCTTAACATTTTTTTTTAATTTTCGAAAAATTGGGAAAATTAATTTTTCGGCCGGACATGTCTAGATCGAAAGCCCTTTAGATGCTGATCAAGAATATATATGGTTTATAGGGTCGGAAATGACTCCTTCACTGTGTTTTAATCTTCTGACTGAAGCCATACTCTGCCAAAAAGGTATAAAACGGACAATTTTCTTAAATAATTTCAGTTTTCCAAACATCATAACTAAGCCAAAATAGCATTAATTTTGATTCGGAAAGCTTTTCTGTGCAAGTTTTTATAGCACATTCAAATCTGCATACTGCGTTTGTT